GCCTCCTGGGTTCAGGCAATTCTCCTGCCTCAGCCTCCTGAGTAGCTGGGATTACAGGCACGCACCACCATGCCCAGCCAATTTTTTGTATTTTTAGTAGAGACGGGGTTTCACCGTGTTGACCAGGATGGTTTCGATCTCTTGACCTCGTGATCCACCCGCCTCGGCCTCCCAAAGTGCTGGGATTACAGGCTTGAGCCACCGCACCTGGCCGCTAGTTTTTAAAATTCTATAATAATGCTAGGGACTATTTGATTTTCATATAGAAAGTTTTCATTTTCTTTTGTTTTAACTTTGGGTAGCCTTAGTATAATATAATTGGCCCTTGAACAAAGCAGGGGTTATGGCCCCCACAAAAGTCTGAGTATAACATTTGACTGCCTTAAAACTTAACTACTTATAACTACTGTTATAAGCCTTACCAATAACAGAAATAGTCTATTAACACATATTTTGTATATTTATTATATACTATATTCTTATAATTAAGAGGATAAAAAAGGGTATTGAGAAGATCATAAGGAAAATATATTTACTATTAAGTGGAAGTGGATCGCCATGAAAGCTTTCATTGTCATCATCTTCATGTTTAAACTGAAGAAGAAGAGGGATTGGTCTTGTGTCTTATGGGTGTCATAGGATTTCACTAAGAAATTAGGAATCAAGTATCTAAAAATAAGCAATAAGTATTTACGCTTTTTATACGGAGTTTCGCTCTTGTTACCCAGGCTGGAGTGCAATGGCGCCATCTCGGCTCACCGCAACCTCCGCCTCCTGGGTTCAGGCAATTCTCCTGCCTCAGCCTCCTGAGTAGCTGGGATTACAGGCACGCACCACCATGCCCAGCTAATTTTTTGTATTTTTAGTAGAGACGGGGTTTCACCATGTTGACCAGGATGGTCTCGATCTCTTGACCTCGTGATCCACCCGCCTCAACCTCCCAAAGTGCTGGGATTACAGGCTTGAGTCACCGCGCCCGGCTTAAATAAATTTTTTACTTTTTTCCTGCTTAAAAAAAAAAAATCAAGTCCAAATTCCTCTGCTAGACTCCCCTGCTAAACATAGAAAAGAAAGAATGCATTAGAAAGAAAGAATGCACTGGAAAACAAGAAATTAATAGAGACTGAAAGAAGTCACTTCAGATCTTACCTGTAATTCTCAAGTCTGTTTTGTCTTTAGTTTTCATGAACATTGTTATAAAAGATAGACTACAAAACCACTGAGTGTTGTAAAATAACCAGTCCTTAGGAGAAGGCAAAATGAGATAAGAAATTTGTTGGTGGAAGAAAATACATTATTTGCCTATATTGTATCCATTCACTTCTTTCCAATCTTTTGAATAGGTTGCAGATTATATTCCTCAACTGGCCAAATTCAGTCCTGATTTGTGGGGTGTGTCTGTTTGTACAGTAGATGGACAGAGGTAAGTTTATTTCAAATTCATGAACACCAACTCTAAATCTTAAATTTTGTATAATGGTTAGAATGACATGGAGAAGATCATCTTTTATGATGGAAATTAGTCCTAACAGGACATAATTTCAAAAGGTAAATAAATTTAGATTTTAATGTAATTTTTAAAAACTCAACTGAAAGTTACATTATATTAAGTTTTATGAGACATCTATTTTATTCACTGTTGTAGTCTTGTTTTTTGAGTATTATTCAAATACCTGCAGTTACCAATTTGTTTAGGAAAAGCAGACTTGTCAAAACATGACACTATTCTCTAATGAACCGACCACTAATAAAATTAAGTCCCATTTCTCAGCTTAACATTGGTAACCCATCTGTCGTCTTTGTTCCTCATGTTCCTGTTATAATTAGCATGGGAATTAAGATACTGCAACATAACATATCCCATTATTCATCAGTTCATTTGCAAAGTGAAAAGTCAGTTGCAAAACATGTAGGATTTCGTGAAGTCCGTGAAAGCAGTATTTGAGAATTGCTCACATTGCAGGCACAGCTGCTGACAGATAAGGAACTTGCAGAATTATAAAAAGGATAGTGATGTGAGGGCACTTTAAAGAGAATGATTTGATTTAAAAATCAAAGAATTAAGAGAGGCCCTTGGAAAATGGTAAAGTTCTAGAATATTTTTTCAAGAATGATTCTTTTCATTGTGCTGGGAATTAGGCATAAAGATTATTATCATCTTGTAACTGGTTTTATCAGAAAATTATGCTTTTTTCACTCATTTCAAGACTTAGCTCAGAGATGCATTCTTTTGGTTTTTGTTTTTTTTGTTAAAGTATTTCTTTTTTATTAAAATATAACTTAAATAAGATGTACAACTGTAGGCCGGGCGCGGTGACTCGCGCCTGTAATCCCAGCACTTTGGGAGGCCGAGGTGGACGGATCACAAGGTCAGGAGATTGAGACCATCTTGGCCAACATGGTGAAACCCCGTCTCTACTAAAAACACAAAAATTAGCTGGACGTGGTGGTGCGTGCCTGTAATCCCAGCTACTCGGGAGGCTGAGGCAGGAGAATTGCTTGAACCCAGGAGGCGGAGGTTGCAGTGAGCCGAGATTGTGCCACTGCACTCCAGTCTGGCGCCTGGTGACGGAGCAAGACTCTGTCTCAAAAAAAAATAAATAAATAAATAAAAAAAGATGTACAACTGTAAGCGAATACAGCTTGAAAAGTTTATATGAGAGTTGTAATTTTACCTAAATTTTGTTAAAACTACTAAAAGTAATTTAACTTAGTAGGTTTAGATTTTACTTTTCAAGATAATGTTGTAATTAAAAACTTTGTTTTTTTCTTTTATGAAAATTTGATCTTTTATGTTACCCAGGCTGGTTTTGAACTCCTGGCCTCAAGCAGTCTTCCTGTCTTGGCCTTCCAAAGTGCTGGGATCATAGGCATGAGCCACTGCCCCCAGCCAAAAATTTGTGACTCTTAAGGACCTTCATTTTAGATGATTTTAATTTTTTAATTTTTTTTTGTTTGAGACAGAGTCTTGCTCTGTTGCCCAGGCTAGAGTGCAGTGTCGTGATCTCGGCTCACTGCAACCTCTGCTTCCTGGGTTAAAGCTATTCTCCTGCCTCAGCCTCCCCAGTAGCTGGGACTGCAGGTGTGCGCCACCACACCCAGCTAATTTTTGTATTCTTAGTAGAGACAGGGTATCACCATGTTGGCCAGGATGGTGTTGATCTCTTGACCTTGTGATTTGCCTGCCTCAGCCTCCTAAAGTGCTGGGATTACAGGCATGAGCCACTGTGCTTGGTGATTTTAATTTTTTTACTAAAAAAATCTCAAATACTTACAATAAAAAATATAAAGGTTAGCCCATTCATTTTGAAGATAAGGAATCTGAGGCCCATAGTTGACATGATGATGCTGGCAAAGGTGAAATGAATACCTAGATCTCTTCTAGTTCATTTTTTTCTTTCATTATTGTATGCTTTTTTTTCTCATTTGGGCCTGTAAAATGTACTGAACAGTCACCATATGTTGAATTAAATGTTGTGTGCTATGAAGGGACACAATGAAATGAAAAGACATGGTGACTTTATCCCATGAAGCAAATCCCAGTAGGGAATGGTATTCCTGTTTTTGCATTTTAGGAAATGGTTTATCAAGTAATGGAAGTCTTTGAATTTGAAGGAAATTATTATCATGTAATACTTGGGTATGATTTTTCTCTTCTTAAATATTCTCTATGTCTTAGTTTCTTATCTAGAGAATTCAGAAAGTTGACTTCAGAACTAAAACATATGTATTATCCAAAGGTAATAAGACAAGATTTTAATCATTTTTTAGAATGATTGTCAAGTTTGAAGTTTTTTTTGAAGTTATAATCATATAGTATAACCATAGAGTGTAAGGCTATAGTTATACATTATGAATAAAGCTGATAGGAAAAATATGCTTTTGGCATTTATACATATGTATTTATATTCTATAATACACTCAGAAGTGAGGTGGGTAAGCATTCTTGTTTGACCTTTGATGTCTCTGTCACCCTCTGCTTGGGGTGGTTAATAGTGCCCAGTTTCACTATGAATGACTTTCAGTATGAATGAATGCCTGTGATGTGTTAGGACATTGTTCAGGGAACTTGGGATATTCCAGTAAGTATATCAAAGATCTTTGCCTTTGTGAAGCTTACATTATAATTTGGTTGGCCAGAATGTTTTCATTCCCAAATCTTTTCTCTACTTCATGTACTTCTCAGTTTGGTGGTAACATAAAGCTTTCTTTTTGTTCTTTTATTTATCTCCATGGTAATGATGATTGCCTACTGGAACTTAGTGCCAGCTCTGTCAGGTTTATAAAACTGGATGTTTTTTCTTTTAATGGGGCCAGGATTGTGAGTGGATGTGGTTCATAAGAAGAAGCATTTATAGACAGGGTCTCACAGAATAGTATTGAATCTAAACTGAGCTCTGTTTAACTCCTTAACCATGGTTTAGTCACAGCTTACAACTATGAGTAAAAAAGGTGAATAATTTCTGAAAGGGCTAGTTTATTTTATGTGATTGAATACAGGTGGGAGTAAGGAGGAGCATGCTCTTACGTTCTTGCCCGCAGAGGAAACTTTCCACATTACATATTTATTATCTACTTTAAAACCATAGTTCTGTTACGTGAATACTTTCATGCTTTTGCTTTTTTTCTTCTTCACAGTATTCCTCTTAAACATATGGTCAGTTCTGTATCCATGGAGTCTGCACCTGTGGATTCAAGCAATCACAGATCGAAAATATTTGAGCAAAAAAAGATAGATTAGTTGTGTCTATAGTGAACATGTACAGACATTTTTTCTTGTCATTATTCCCTATATAACACAGTACAACAACTATTTATATGGCATTTACATTGCATTTGGTATTACACGTAATCTGGAGATGATTTAAAACACATGGGAAGATGTGTGTAGGTTATATGCAAATGCTGTACCATTTTATGTAAGGGACTTGAGTGTCTGTGGAGTTTGGTATCACAGGGCCTCCTGGAGTCAACCTCTCACGGATATCAAAGAATGACTGTACTTACATTTATTCTTTAATTTTGACATAAACTTGTGGTTGAATTATGGGAAATTTTTGTAAATTGGAATTAACATGTAAAAAGAATAATTCCAACTATGCAATTACACTTTTTTCCCAGTTGATGTTATTTTTTTAAATCTCCTTTTAAATAGGCATTCCACTGGAGATACCAAAGTTCCCTTCTGTCTGCAGTCCTGTGTAAAACCTTTGAAATATGCCATTGCTGTTAATGATCTTGGAACTGAGTATGTGCATCGATATGTTGGAAAAGAGCCTAGTGGACTAAGATTCAACAAATTATTTTTGAATGAAGACGGTAAGAATTACATAAATATTGGTTGAAAAAATGTCTCATTTTCCTATGTAAATCTAAATCATTTTAAGCATTTTTTTGATTAAAATTAAAAGTGTTTATTTGTCATGTGATTTCTATGCAATCCATAGAGAGAATTTCATGACCTACTTTTAAAAATGGTTATTTTATGCATCTCATACCACTGGGAAGTGGGCTAGGGAGAATGTGAACTTTCCTGGGATTACAGGCGTGTGCCACCACATCTGGCTAATTTTGTATTTTTAGTAGAGATGGGGTTTTTCCATGTTGGCCTGGCTGGTCTCGAACTTCCAACCTCAGGTGATCCACCCACCTCGGACTCCCATGGTGCTGGGATTATAGGTGTGAACCACCGTGCTTGGCCCCTGAGGATTTTTATTTTTTAGTGAGTGTTTTTACTTTTTCTCATTATAACATTAAAAAATTTGAAAGAAACGCATTGTGTTTAATGCTTGGATAATAAGTCATTACAGGAACTCAAAAGAAAAGGGAAGGACAAAAGTAGTTTGAACTGATAGAGATTTTAAGTCTAAACAATTATTTAGTTGAATACAAACTATGCTAAACTATTCCTATGGTTTGGTTTCTGTTTTTTGATCTTTTAAGCATCTGCTGTGTTTCTGATTGATGAGTTAAGATACAGAATTGAAGAGTGAAAGTGAAGGTTGTAGTAAGGGCTGTGAGAGATACACTTTTTTTTTTTTGAGACGGAGTTTCACTCATGTTACCCAGGCTGGAGTGCAATGGCGTGATCTCGGCTCACCGCAACCTCCGCCTCCTGGGTTCAGGCAATTCTCCTGCCTCAGCCTCCTGAGTAGCTGGGATTACAGGCACGCACCACCATGCCCAGCTAATTTTTTGTATTTTTAGTAGAGACGGGGTTTCACCATGTTGACCAGGATGGTTTCGATCTCTTGACCTCGTGATCCACCCGCCTCGGCCTCCCAAAGTGCTGGGATTACAGGCTTGAGCCACCGCGCCCGGCCTTACCATAACCTTTTTATTCTGATGCTACATTTGATTTTATAGATATTACCATAAATGAACAACTTGGATAAGGACATCATGTGTAGAAGCACTCTATTTACTAAGCTCATTGACATCTAGATTTAATATTGAAAGAATTAATACTGTTATTCTAAAAATAATCAAATATTTTAAAAGAAAAATTTAATACTTTTCCATGAAAAGCAAAGGAGAATAGATGTGTCTAGTAAATTGATTGATTTTGAGGGAGATATTTAAGGAAAAGAAAACAAATATAGTAATTTATAGAAGATTTCAGAAACAAAAAAAATGAAATGGACTTGGAGCAAATGAACTTAACAGTGTAAGTAATGAATTTTTGCCATGTGCATTGATGGTTTTAGAAATCATGAATTATTGATACTGTATTCTACATAAGAAAAAATAAGAAATCAGGAGTTTAGAATTGCTTATAATAAGAATGAAATATAAAGTTTAACAAGAGGTTTTGCCTTCATATTTATAGACATTTTTCTAAGCCTGAGCCAACACCACAAGTCTTGAAAGTAATGGTAAATAAAGGCTTTACTATATTACACCTTCCTGAGTTCTGATTAGATTCTGTGCCCTTGAGCCCAGTTTAGTTTAGCCCCAGCAAAAACAGTTTGAGGATCTCCTTCATATTTAAAATTGCAAGGGTAGATTTTTGGTGAAACCATATACTTTTATGATGTGTATGTATATATGTACATCTAGAATTATAAAATTTAAAAAATATATTAATGTTAATGCTAGCTTTATAAGATTGTGATGATTTATTAAGACTAATATGGAAATAGTGACTAGATAGAGAAATTGTAGTGGTTTTTAATAACAGCGGTTTAAAAATGTTTGCAGCATAGAAAATGTTGGTCTTGTGGTAGCAGGTGGCTGATATTTTTTATCATAATAAGTGAGCAAACAAGTTACTTTATGGAGATGTCAGTTTTGCAGACTATGATCTCCCAGGGAAGTCTTTTTCTACCTTATAGTGATCAGTTTAACCAACAAATTATTTATATAGCTTTCCTTGTCTGTACTGTTAACAGCTCTGGAGGGTACATGGGCCTTGGTTCTTGGAATAACTTTTCTGACTGCAGGTTACAGAAGACAATTTAGCAAAAGTTTGACTTGGCCTTACCTGTGAACAAAACCCTTGTAAGGTTCATATGCTAAGCAGCTTGAAAGCTTGTTTTGATATAATATGAAAGAAGTCTGTGTATTTTATTGCCTTGGGGGGAAATAAATACTTGTTAAAATTGATCAGTTTTTTGCATTATAGTTTAAAATATGTCCATAAATTTCAGATGTCACCCATGTCCATTTTGTCAGTACGTGCTCTGATTTGTCATTACTTCAAATGTTAGCCTTTATTAGTATTTCGTATGTTATTTCTGCCATTCACAAATATTTTTAAATTAAAAATCCTAAACCCATCAACTCTGTCCTATGACAGCAGGAAAGAAGAAAATTTCACAGTCATAGGTCTTGGATCAAGGTTTTATACTGCAGTTAGGCTGGTGTTGTGTTACATTCTCTCTGGCGGATTTCCAGATGTTCAGATGTCTGGATTTTGAGCCAGAGTGAGCAATTACATACTTCTGAAAATTGGGCTGTCATGCCATGAAATGATTTAGTGTTCCTTAAGACATCTGGAGTATAGTTTATGTAGCATTTGCAGAGTATGTATCATTTGGAAAATATTTAATACTCACATTTTTGTGATACCATTTGGAATACATACATTAGCAGCCTTCTAGGACTGTAGATTCTAAGCCTGATAATGTCAAAACTCTGAAATGGCAGTTAATGAACATCCATACAAATACAGGTATAAAATAATTTAGCACAATCTGATTTCTGAATTCTGCTTTCTCTCTGCATGGGCTTTTCTTTCAGGTGGATAAGATTTGGAAAATTTTTAGGTTTTGGCCCCCTCTTGCTGCATAGTATTCTTCTGAGACAGCAAGTGTTCTCATTTTGTGTGGTCTCAGAGAAAGCAAACTTCTCTTAGTATAATTTGGAATACGCAAATCTTCATTGTAATAATCAGATATAAAACAAATATTTTAACTTTTGGAACTAGGCATTATGAATATCCCAAAATGTATAATTTTTTATTTATTTATTTTTAATTTACAGATAAAAATTGTGTACAACATATGGTGTACAACACAGTGATTTGAAATATATATTCATTGTGGAATGGCTAAATCAAAGTAATATACATTACTTCATATTTACTTATAATGAGAAAACTTAAAGTATGCTTTCTTAACAATTTTCAAGTACATATAATACTTGTTATTAACTATATCATGTTATAAAATAGATCTCTTGAACTTATTCCTCCTATAACTGAAATTATGTATCCTTTGACCAACATCTGGCAATCCCTTCTTCCCCCTCCGCGACTTCTGGTAACCACCGGTAGATAAATTAAAACGTTGAAGTTTGCTTGTAAATAGATGTTTTCACTCTCCCCAAGAGTTTTGTTTTTAGCGTTTGTGTCATGCAGTGAATGAGAATATAATCAGTTGAGTTTTGAAATTCTTATTTATTGTAAGAATTAAGGAGTTTGGATGAATGTAAAGTTTTAAGTAACTTTAAAATTATATAAGGATACACCTTTACTGTCAGGAAATATAGAAAGCCTAAAAATATCCCCTATAAAACATTAGCCAGGTGTGGTATGTGCCTGTGGTCCCAGCTTCTTGGGAGTCTGAGGCCAAAGGATCACTTGAGCTTGAGAGGTCAAGGCTGCAGTGAGCCATGATTTTGCCACAGCACTTCAGCATAGGTGACGGTGTGAAACTCTGTCTCTTTAAAAAAAAAAAAAATCTCTTATAATTTTATTCTATGTAAAACAATTGTTTGTGTTTTGAAATCCTTCTGTGTAAGTGCTTGTATATAAAGATAAAAACAAAGCACTTAGAAAAAAGCAAAATTGAGTTTACGTTAGCTGTGCTTTTTTCCAAGGTTATTTTAATGTAGTAATATTAGTCAAGTGTTTAAGTATTTGAAATAATGGTATTGCTTTTATATTTTGCAGATAAACCACATAATCCTATGGTAAATGCTGGAGCAATTGTTGTGACTTCATTAATAAAGGTAAAATGTTGATGTTTCATTTTAACCTAGTAAACTTTTTTTTTTTTTAAATAGCTAAGGCATAAAGATGAATCTGGGATTATTTATGTAGAATTATGAAAAATTTTCTCTTTGTGTTAAAAAATTTGTCTTATGGTATAGAGTTAGAATCTTTATTTCAAAATAAATGATGTAGTCATTGCAAGGCCAAAATTAAAAACAGATGACTCACTGTAAATTCCAACAGTTATTTACTCTTGACTTGAAGATCTGGAAAATATTTAAAGTCTGCTGAAGATTAAAGTTTTGATATTTTCCTTTCTTTTCCTTTTGGATCTTCTAGAATGAACAGTTATAAATAGAATTAAAGGCATTTTACTGTATATTTGTTATTAGTATATGTAGGAACAAATGATCTAGAACTTGTTTAAGACAAAGTACATTTACCCTCCAATATTCTCACATCTTTGATGCTCTGATGAGTTGAAATCACAATTTTTGTTTGAACTTGTTTCATTTGTTTTACTTAAATCATGCCATAATTAAAATAAATAAGGCTCATTCCAATTATTAAGTTATATTTTCTTATGCTTTGAAGTTTGCATTATAAGGAGTTTTTTTTTTTTTTTAATTGTTTGGTTTGCCTTAATAATTGGAAGATCTAGTGTTTTGACATAAGTATTTGAAAATGGTTCTCTTGTAATAGATTTTTAAATCTATCACACAATTTTAGATTTTTCAGATTTTTAATTTCTAATTATAAATTTTATTTATTTAAATAAATTTTGTGTTTGGAAACATTTGAATACTTCTTTGATAAATCTGTGCCTGTTCATTACAAGTTAGAGTAAAGCATAACTACATGGCTTTGTAAATACATTACTGTGGATGAGGTACCCTGGTTACATGAAGGATTTTTGAGTATAAATGATACCCATGCCCCAGTTCACAAAACTTCATCTAATTTGTATATTAGAAATCCTTTCTTAACTTTCAAGGGTTTTATATCTATGAGAAAAAGATTTTTTAATTATTATTATTTTTGAGACAGAATCTCGTTCTGTCGCCCAGGCTGGAGTGCAGTGGTACAGTCTCGACTCACTGCAACCTGTACTACCCAGGTTCAAGCAATTCTCTGTCACAGCCTCTTGGTAGCTGGGATTACAGGCGCCTGCCACCACACCCAGATAATTTTTTGTATTTTTAGTAGAGATGGGGTTTCACCATCTTGGCCAGGCCAGTCTTGAACTCCTGAGCTTGTGATCTACCCGCCTCAGCCTCCCAAAGTGCTGGGATTACAGATGTGAGCCACCATGCCCAGGCAAAAAAGCTTTTTAATAGAAGGCTAGTTTCTTAAGAGTCTATATGTTTACTTTGGCCCATTTAATTCTTATAACTCTAATGAAGTAGATGTTATAGCCAAGTGTTTTTAAAATGTAACTAATTGTAATAGGCTATGGAGAAAATTGTCAGTTTGAGGTAAAAGAAACTTGAAAAATGTGATTATTTGCAAGGCACAGTCCTGCCTTTAGATAGCTTACTTTGTAGTACGAGAAATGCACAAGTAAATGGGTCCTTATAATAAAATTCAGTAAGTACGTGATGAGAGAAAAGCTTCATTAATAATTACTCAGAGGCCGGGCGCGGTGGCTCAAGCCTGTAATCCCAGCACTGTGGGAGGCCGAGGCGGGTGGATCACGAGGTCAAGAGATCGAGACCATCCTGGTCAACATGGTGAAACCCCGTCTCTACTAAAAATACAAAACATTAGCTGGGCATGGTGGCGCGTGCCTGTAATCCCAGCGACTCAGGAGGCTGAGGCAGGAGAATTGCCTGAACCCGGGAGGCGGAGGTTGCGGTGAGCCGAGATCGTGCCATTGCACTCCAGCCTGGGTAACAAGAGCGAAACTCTGTCTCAAAAAAAAAAAAAAAAATTATTCAGATTTGAACAAGTAACTTAAAATTAGAAATAAGGAAAGTTACTGTAATGTATATGTTAATGCTTGATGAGACAAACACCAAAATTGTTTCTTCCCAGAAAAATATCCACATACCATAATTTTACATAAATTTCCAGGTGTTCACCACCCTTCGAGGCTGATCTATGGATCCCAGTTTAAGAATTCTTAAACTGGAGAGAGATTAACATGGTACATAGTTTCAAAAAAAGGGCTTATGTAAGTAATTAACAGAAGACTTCCTTAACTGCACACAGTTAAAAGTCTTTCATTAAATGATTCTTGGGCTTAACAGACTACACTGAAATGCTGCATGTGGGAATTGCGTATCTGGTCATATCACACCATCATTTATTAGTTTCACTTGCCATGTTTAGTCATGAGCCATAAACTATACATTGAGCTACATTTTAGAATGAGTGAATAGAAACAGTTAAAACATAAACACAACATTATTAGAGTTCAACAGTGTTAAAATTTGAGTCATCTTGGACGTACAAATTTGATCACTGAGTTTTATAAAAACTTAAATTTACTGGTAAAGTTGGAAATGAGGCTTTAGGATATGGTTTATATTTAAGGTCACTTTCTCCTGAGTTTTTGTTTTTTAGCATGTTTTTTACAAGTGCTTTTTTTTTTTTAATGAAGTTCATACAAATCTTGGAGAAGAAAGCCTGCTATAACCCTATGTAAAATGGAATGCTCCAGAATATGTAATATTTTTCTTAGGATCTTTTAAGGAAAGAATCAATTCATTTGTGTGATCTCTGCAAATTGTATGATGACATAATATTTATAAATTGGTATTGGTTTGAAATTTAGGTAATAAAACCATAGCCAAAAGGGCTTAAACATTGTCAAGCTCTCTTATTTTATGTAGATGGGGAAACTGAGAGCCTGGCAAGGTTGTTAACAGCAGTAGAATTGGGCATTAACTAAATCTCCTGATACTCTGCTGTTCATTACAATTCACGCTGCCATTTTAACGTAGGTGTTTGCCATTTCTCTTGATGACATCTTTAACTTTAATTGGCATAGTTATATTGCCCAAAATGCGGACGTACTATTTTCTTAATTTGAACTGGTTCAAACGATAATAATTAATTGGTTTAAAAGTTATATCTCATTTGGTACCAAATGTCTGTAGTCATTCTTTGGACATTAGTCAGTAAAGAAACAGGCCCTCTTCCAAGGTGCTTGCATCTGAGTACCCAAAGCCACAGATATTTCACCATGGCTAGTAGAGGTGAATTCTGTTTTTTAGCTCTTTTAATTGATGACCTTAAGGCTATTTGTATTTTTTTTTTCTTTCAAAATTCAGGAATTTATCATGGTGCCATTAGAATCATTTCTTCATGTTATTCCCCTCACCCCAAAATTAAGTAGAGTCTTTAGTAAGACTCTTGATTTCATAATTTTGTAGTGTTGATATTTTTTCCTTGTAGGATTGGTGGTGATCCTCAGGAAATGGGGGAAGAGGCAGAGCAAATGTTCAAAAGGATTAGCAGATTGTGGAAAAAAGGAGGATTTGGACAGAAGGAGCCTGTTGCATAAATTCTTAACTACTAAGCTTATAGGAAAACTCCAATATTTAAAATTTTAAACAAAGCTATATAGGTAAATACCTTTTTAAAAACAAATGTCATTTTATACTTAAAATGCACATAATTTTTAAAAAACATAAGGATACTATACTTCCTCTCTTTTTCTCTGTGGTAGCTACTAACTTTAAATGAATACTTTTTGTTATAATCTGTTTTATTTGGGATGGTGATAAGGTGTGATTGCTTGATTGAAAGGAAAGAATAAAAATAAATTTGAAAGGAACAGTTATTTTTATATGACATAGCAGTATACTTATATACTTTTTTTTCTTTTCAGTGGCAAAAATTTCACCGAGTTTTAGTTTAAAAGTTAAGATCTGGTGATAACTTAAGGGTTAAGGTAGGAAAATGAGGACAACATACGGCAAAATAATTGCCACATTTAATGCTTTTTCATGTTAGAAATAGAAGTTACACTGTCTTATGTGTTTTTATCTCTCAGAGTTATGTTTTTGTTTTTTAGAGACAAAGTCTCTCTCTGTTGCCCAGTCTAAGTGAAGTGGTATAGTCAAAGCCTACTGCACCCTCAAACTCCTGTACTCAAATGATCCTGCCACCTCAGGCTCCAGAGTAGCTGGGACCACAGGCACATGCCACCATGCAGGGCTAACTTTTTGTAAAGATAGGGTCTTGCCATGTTGCCCAGGCTGGTCCCCACCTCCTGGCCTAAAGTGATCCTCCCAGTTTGGCCTCCCAAAACGCTGGGATGACAGGCTTGAGTCACTCTACTTGGCATGCCTCATTCTAGTGCTAGTTTCCAGTTTTTGTCATTTAAAGAAGCTCTATTTTTTCTTTAGTCAAAAGTATTCTTGAATTGTAAAAATTAGGGTTTTTTTTCCTCTTTAAACAATTTAAGCATACTCATTGAAAATCAAGACAATCTTAGTTGATGTATATGCAGTGTTCAATTTGGTCATGTTAGCAGTAAACTGCTAGGTTTGCTTATAAGGCAGGTTTTTTAAGTGGTTCGTGACTCTGAGAGTAATGAATGATGTCTTGGACTGGCAGCATTCAGAAGACAGGATTATATTGGTTTATTTACTTCATGTTTATATCAGTTTATGCTTTCCTTTTTTTTTTTTAAATGAAAGGTAGAGCATTTATTGTCAACTGAAAATTGTTCTGTTATTTTATTTTTAGGGTTAATCTGTGAAAATACTAGATCTAGAACAACATTCTTTTTTTACCTGGAGTGTCTTATTTTTTATTTGCCTAATACTCTTTGGCTTTAAAGCATTTTCTATCATAAGACTAAATTAAGACTATTTCATAAAATCATATTTAGTTACCTCTTTTTGCATTTTTCCTCTAGGATCTTTAATTTTTAATTGGCTTGCACCTCCATATTTTATGAATGGAATCAAGTGAGATACTTCTAAAATAACTCTGATTAATGCATTGACTTTAAGTGAGCCATTTTAGTATTAAATTTATTGGCAGATATCCTTATTAACAGTGT